GGTATGTTCCTGTTATCCCTGATTTCTCCAAGACCTTTATCTTGAAGGGATATTAGATTTTGTCAAAGGCTTTTTCGGCATCTAGTCAGATGATCATGTGGTTTTTTTCCTCAGTCTGTTTATACGGTGGATTACTTTGATGGATTTTCGCATGTTGAACTATCCTTGCATCCCTGGGATGAAACCTACTTGATCATGGTGGATGATTTCTCTGATTTGTTCTTGGATTGGATTTGCCAGTTTTTTTTTTTGAGAATTTTTGCATCAATGTTCATGAGGGATATTGGTCTGTAGTTGTGTTTCTTAGTTGTGTTTTTGTGTGGCTTGGGTATCAAGGTTATTGAAGCCTCATAAAAAGAGTTTGGCAATGACCCTTCGCTTCTATTGTGTGGAATAGTTTGAGAAGAATTGGTATTAGCTGTTCCTTGAATTTCTGGTAGAATTCTGCACTGAAGCTATCTGGCCCTGGGCTTTTATTTGGTTGGGGGACTTCTAATGACTACTTCTATTTCATTAGGGGTTGTAGGTCTATTTAAGTTGCTTATCTGTTCTTGATTTAATTTTGGTAAGTGAAATCTGTCCAGAAAATTGTCCATTTCCTTTAGATTTTCAAATTTTGAGGAAGATAGGTTTTCGAAGTATGACCTGAAGATTCTCTGGATTTCCTCTGTGTCTGTTGTTATGTCCCCCTTTTCATTCCTGATTTTATTAATTTGCATGTTTACTCTCTGCTGTTTGGTAAGTTTGCATAAAGGTTTGTCTATCTTGTTGATTTTCTTCGTTATATTGATTCTTTGTATTGTTCACCTAGTTTCCATTTTATTGATTTCAGCCCTCAATTTGTGTCTGCTCCTGCAATTTTTCTCTTAGTTTCCATTTTATTGATTTCAGCCTTTAATTTGATTATTTCCTGGCATTTGCTCCTCCTGGGTGTATTGGCTTTTTTGTGTTCTAAAGCTTTCAGTTGTGCTGTTAATTCTCTAGTGTGATTATTCTCATGTTTCTTCATGTGGGCACTTATTGCTATGAATGTTCCTCTTAGCATTGCTTTCAAAGTGTCCCATAGGTTTGGGTATGTTGTGTCTGCATTCTCATTGAATTCTAGGAAATCTTTAATTTCTTTTTCTATTTCTTCCCCCACCCACAAATTGTGCAATTGGGTATTACTTAATTCCCATGAGTTTGTAGGTTTTCTGTAATTCATGTTGTTGTTGAATTCTAACTTTAAAGCATGGTGGTCTGATAAGATACAGGGGGTATTTCAATTTTTTGTACCTGTTGAGGTTTGCCATGTTGCAAGGTTCCATGTGGCACTGAGAAGAAGGTAAATTGTTTTGTATTTGGATGGAATGTTCTATAGATATCTCTTAAGTCCAATTGTGCCATAACTTCTATTAGTTTCTTTGTTAATTTTCTTTCTGGTATGCCTGTCCAGTGGAGAGAGTGGGGTGTTGAAGTCTCCTACTATAAGTGTGTGAGGTTTTATGTGTGATTTGAGTCTTAGTAATGTTTCTTTTACAAACGTGGATACCTTTGTATTTGAGGCATAAATGTTCAGAATTGAGACTTCGTCTTGATGGCCTTCTCCTGGGATGAGTAGGAAGTGATCTCCTTCATCTCTTTTGATTGATTTTAAAGTCCAATTTTTAGATATTAGGATTGCTACCCCTGCTTGTTTCTTGAGTCCATTTGATTAGAAAATCTTTCCCCAACCTTTAATTCTTAGGTACTGTCTGTCTTTGAAGTTGAGGTGTGTTTCTTGTATGGAGCAGAAGGATGGATTCTGTCTACTTGTTCATTCTGCTTATCTGTGTCTTTTTGTAGGTGAGTTAAGACCATTAATGTTGATGGATACTAATGACTATTGATTGTTTATTCTTGTTTTTTTTTGATTGGGTGATGGTGGTGAAATTATGTGTGGGATTCTATCTCTTTTTCCTTTGGGCTGTTGTTAAAGTGGGATTATCTATTGCCTATATTTTTCTGGTTGTGGTTAACTTCCTTGGGTTGCAGACTTCCTTCCAGAACTTTCTGTAGGGCTGGATTGGTGGATATGTATTGTTTGAATCTGGTTTTGTCATGGAATATCTTGTTTTCTCCATCTATAGTGATTGAAAGCCTTGCTGGGTATAGTAGTCTGGGATGGCATCCATGGTCTCTTAGTGTAGGTAGAATATCTATCCAGGACCTTCTGGCTTTCAGAGTTTCCATGGAAAAGTCAGGTGTAATTCGGATAGGTTTGCCTTTATATGTTACTTGACCTTTTTCCTTTGCTGCTCTTAATATTTTCTTTTTGTTCTGTATGTTTGTTGTTTTGATGTGGCGAGGAGACCTTTTTTTGGTTCAGTCTATTTGGTGTTCTGTAGACTTCTTGTATTTTCATTGGCATGTCTTTCTTTAGGTTGGGAAAGTTTTCTTCTATGATTTTGTTGAATATGTTTTCTGTGCCTTTGAGTTGGATTTCTTCACCTTCTATACCTATTATTCTTAGGTTTGGTCTTTTGATGGTATCCCATATTTCCTGGATATTTTCTGTTAGGGATTCGTTGGACTTAAGATTTTTCTTTGGTTGATGATTCTGTTTCTGCTAGTGTGTCTTTAACTCCTGAGATTCTCTCTTCCATCTCTTGTATTCTGTTGGTTATGTTTGCTTCTGTAGTTCCTGATTGTTTACCCAGATTTTCTATTTCCAACATTCTTTCAGGTTGTGCTTTCTTTATTGTCTGTATTTCAGTTTTTAGATCTTGAACTGTTTGCTTGAGAGATTTGTTGATATCTTGTATTTTTTTTTGGTTTGTTTTTTCTTCCATTTCTTTAAGGGATTTTCTCATGTCCTCTTTGAGGTCCTCTATCATTTTCATGAAGATGTTTTTAAGGTCTTTCTCTTCTCGTTCATCTGCATTGTGATGTTCAGGTCTTGCTGGTGTATGGTTCCTAGTCTCTGGTGGTGTCATATGGGTTTTTCTGTTGTTGAATGTGCTTTTACAATTGTCCTCTTCTCATCCTTTCTTCTGGTGGGTGTAACAGGAGTCTTTTCCTCTCCTGGTGGGTATGAGACCAAGGTTCCCTTCTGGTAGATGCAAACAATTCCAATACTCTGATGTCTTTTCTCTCATTGTGGATGGAGGCAGAACTGCCAATGGGGCCTTGGCACTGTCCCGGTGTGTCAGGCTCACTGCCGATCCGGCGAGCAAACCCTTGGTGTCAGATTCCTCCAAGCTGGGCCTCTTACCCCCTTGGAAGACTTTGTTAGAGGTGAGAACAAAGTGCCATGGGGTTCCTATCCAACTGTAGGGAGTATGTTAGACAGCCTTCCATCACTGTAACAAAGTACCTGAAATAAATGCTTTATCAGGAGAAAATGTTTACTCTGGCTTAGAGGGTCCATGAGAGGCTGGCCCATTGCTTTTGGGCTTGTGGAGAAACAGTACATCACAGTATTGGAGCAAAACAGCCTGCCTCATGACAGACAGGAGCAAAGAATGACAGGAGGGGCCTCAGTCTCAATGGCATCTTCAAAGGCGCATTTCCAATGACCTTAGCTTCCTTAAAGAGGCTCCATCTCCTCCCAATAGTGCCACATAGTCCTTTGAGAGACACTTATTCAAAATGTATCAGGGAGGCTTCCTGGAGATGTGATTGTAGGGGTTCAGCACCTGGAGGTTGCTGAAGGGTGAGTGGCATCCAGACAGAGCCTGTTCTCTTGATTTAGCAAGAGTCCTTGGGAGTACTTGTGGAGAGGAAACATCCAAGAAAGCTGGGAAATGCTAGAAAGTTCCAGATGCATCACAGATCTGGTGGCTCAGCATGGGTGTTCCAAATGTTTCCAGTCTGTTAGATTTGTGACAAGAAAGCGACTTTGAAGTTCTTGGCCTCTTTTCATAGTGAAGAGTTAGGGAAGCCTCGAGGCTCAGCATCAGCTCTGGGCTGTAAAACACTGGGCAGGCTTCCTGATATATAGAGGCAGGGAACTGCCACCCCAGAGGTAGACTTTAAGACCTGCATATGTCCTTACCCAGGTACTCAATGGAACTGGATACATGGCTTTTCTTCTTATTTCCTGCAGGGCTAATCCCAAGGGTTCCTGAGGATGCTGAAGGAGGTCACCCCATTTGTCTGCTGGGGAGAGAATGTGGAGGGGTAAGTGTGGTGGTTTTAGGTGCTGGAGAGACCATATGTAGATGGTAGGTTCCATTTCATAGGGGACTGTTCTGAAGCCACATGTTGGTCAGGTGTTCAGGGCCTTGAGTTCCTGATGCCCGTGAGCATGAAAGAACTCTTATATCCCACCACCTAGGGCCACTTGGTTGAGTCCTATCACTGGTCCTTATGCTCATGTTCCCATGGAAACTGTTGCTTGGAGAAAGCATGCTCAAGAGGAAAGGAAGGAGAGTGTGGCTCAGATGAGACACTGGGATGGCAGTCTGGAGCCTTTCATGGAGTCAGGCCTTCTCTGGGCCCACACTTTTTCCTACACAATTGCATTTGCAGTTTTGATGCTTTATATGACTAGAGGAAGTTAATTAACCTCTCTGAGTCACAGCTTTCTTGACTTTATTACTTACTTTTTACTTATTTGCAACACTCAGAATTGAACCCAGGGCCTCGATCATGCCACCCAAACACTCCATTACCTGGCTGCACAACCCTCGCCAAGCCTTTTCATCTTTAAATTGGCAATGAAATAATATTGACCATCAAGTGTTGTGGAGAGGATAAAATGAGGTATTATAGCCACACAAAGGAATGGCCACTCCCCACAGTGGTGAGAATATGTTATTTCCTAGAAGTTCTTGTCATCTGTTGACTCTGAAGGGACTTTAAAGCAACTCTGTCAGCTCCACTCTTGACACCAATCGATGAAGATCAGCTGTGGAACTGAATTAGTCAAAAGGTATTAGATGGCCCAGACTTTAAAAACACATAGAGTCAGGGAACCCTGAATGCCAGGGAGACATACAGCAAAAAGAAAACCTTTACTTTTTTGAAGATGCCAACCTACATCATCATCAATGCCCCACCATGGATAATGGAGCACTAGAAATGACCCTCAACCTCTTTATCAGGAGACAAAATGTGGGTGTTCCCATTTTCTCAGAGAAGCTTCCAGAGAGGTGCTCTTCACTGTGGCTTCCCTCCAAAGCAGGGGGGTCCTTGCTGATGGCTACTTAGAACTAATAAATGTCTCTTGTACTTGCCTGTGGCTGCCTTCTCTATTCAAAATACACACACACACACACACACACACACACACACACACACACACACACACACACCCTTATGACTGAGAATGGATTTTCCTAAAAATCAGCTGCATCCAGACCACCTCTCCAGTAATTTTTGAAACCTGTGGGTTAATTACAAATTCAGTTACTATTACCAAATGTCTTAACAGCCAAAGTGATGCAGAGGAAAGACAAGGCTATTTCAGTGAAACACACCAATACTTCTGTTGCAAAGAAAGCAGTGTAGATGGGAGGCAGGGCCTCGTTTCAGATGGCTGCTGCTTGTCAATTCTTTTTAATGATTTCACTCTGGTTCTGTTGTTTTTCATCCTCAATCACCCCTTTGCTGTCCCATGGTGGGTGGCCCAAATGTTTGGTTTTGAGGGATATGAGCCGCTGATAGAAACTTGCAGAAAATTTTCACTGGCTTTTACTGTGAGACAGGGCAGGAGTTGGAGCCTCCAGAGAAATCCTTATATTCCTCCTTCTCCCAAAAATAGAGGTCCTGCTTTTCCATGACAACCAGTATCAGACATCCTGGCCAGTTTGGAGACTGCCTCCTTCTTGGTCTGTTTTTCCATTAGTGTAATGCCCAGATGGCCCTATGAAATCCCAGCTCACTGTGACAACTGCTTTGCCACCTCAATGGAGCAATCCTCCCTAAAACATCATCACCTCGTCTCAATCCCCAAATTAGCAGAGCCCAGAGCTGTATTGATGGGGAGGGGATTCAAGTTCATCATGAGACATACAGTCCTTCTACCCCTTGGCTCTGAACATCTTGTTCTGGCCAGGACAAATTACCTCCCTATTCAAAATATTTAGCCTTGTCTTCAGGAGAGTGTCCCATCTTATGAAGTATCATCCGTTGGCATGAAACTTACAGGCATCGGATTGCTGGAACGGCATTTCAGGAGTATGGGCATCTTAGCCCAGCTACTTACACTATGCATTCAGTCCCCATGAGCTTGCTTTTACTGGGTGATTGAACTTTTTTGGGCATGGCCAACTTTATGGGCTGGATTATGCTAACACTCAGTTTGGGAGGCTCAGCTTGGGGCAGAACTTATCTTGGAGTCTGATATTCAGTCATTCAGTCTCCAACAGAGCCCAGTAGCAACCCAAATGGTGCTTTTTAAGAGAACATAATGACTTGACACATACTGCCTGGATTTGCCCCTAGACTTCAAGGTTTTATTAGTGTGATTTTCATGTGGAGGTTTGCTGGTATGCCACCCATTGTTGCAGTCTGGCTTAGGCACCATAAATATTGCTGGCTCTACTGGGTCATCACAGAGAAGCTGAAGAAATGATTGTGACATGGTCTGATCAGGCAGAGTCCCTCTTCCCCTGCCCCCTAATTGTCTGTGGTGGTCGTCTTCCAGTTGTTATACTAAATACTAGAAAAAACATCTTTAAAGGGGAAAACTTTATTTTGGTTTACAGTGTTAGAAGTTTCAGTTCATAGTCTTTCACTCCCTTTCCTCTGGGCCTGTGACAGGCCAAAATTCATGGAGAGAAGTGTGTTCTGGATCAAGATGATTCCATCATGGTAGCTGAGGAAGATGTTGGGGTCCCAATATCCCTTCTGGGATGGACCACAGTGAACTAACTTCCTTCCATTAGGCTCCATCTCCTAAAGACTCCAGCAACCGCTAGCACCATAGGCCAGCGGTCACACCTACAGAATATGGGCCTTTGGGGGACATTTCAGATGTAAACTGTAGCAGTGTCTTCTACTCATAGCTGGTTATTTAAGCCACAATAAGCTAATGTGGTATGTTAAAGTGTAGTATATGTTGCCTCCAAGATGCCAAGGCCCCACCAATCGTTGTTCTTTCTAAGCAGTAGGAAGCACAAGTGCAACAAATTGTTCAAGTGTCTATTTTTCAGTGGTTCTGAGGATTGAACTCAGGGTCTCATGCATGCAAGGCAAGGACTCTTCCATGGGGCTGCATTCCTAGCTTTTCATTGCACAGTTTTTGAGAAACTGACAAAATATGCCCTCGAATCTTGGTTCTCATGAGATTCTCAGAAGTTCAGTCTACATTTGTACAGTTCATCTCCTGCACCTGGCTTATACGTGACTTACCCAAAGCATCTATGGGACTTGTTGTCTGTGTGAGGTTCTGATGTCACAATCCAGCTAATGGGTTGGACCAACATTCTGCTATCAGGTGATAAGGAAGAGGCCAGAGATGGGAAGATGATGGTCAAGGCTTCTGTGGCTTAAAGTGTGACACAGACTAGGCGTCCTGAGTTTTTCTTGAAACAGAGTACAAACACATGTTGTTGCTTCTTCCAAATGAAAGCAAAGGTCTTTGGGTATCTGCTGATAACATTACAGAAAAGTCAGCCATTGCATATCAAGGCAGAAAGTCATGATTTACTCCATTAGGGAGCAAACTTTTTTTTTTTTTGAACAAGCTTGTTTCACA